TGCTGCCTTCCTTCGCAGACGAGGTTGGGGCCCTGGTCTTTGACATCGGCTCCTTCTCCGTGCGGGCCGGCTATGCGGGAGAAGACTGCCCAAAGGTAGGGCCCAGACCTCTCCCCCTCTCAGCCGGGGGTCTACTTGGCAGCCTCCCCCCGGGTCACTCCTTTGCAGAGGATCAGGCCCACCATGCGTGGGCCAGGGCTGGTCCGGGCCGTTCCTGCCCCACGGCGACTGGTCTGCTTGCAGGCGGACTTCCCCACGACGGTGGGCTTGCTCTCCCACGACGAGGCGGCCGTGGAACTGGATGGGGACAAGGAGACCAAATCCGGGAAGGTGTATTACATCGACACCAACTCCCTGCACGTGCCGCGGGAGAACACGGAGATCATCTCGCCCCTCAAGAACGGGATGAGTACGCCGGGGGTGGGGAGGGGCTGGCGCCCCGGGCAGGGAATCGAAAACCTCCCGGCCAGGCTGCTGGGCCAGGAGCCCTGAGCCCCCAGCCCTCTCCTGCCCTGGGCCCACTGAGGGGGGCGTGCCTCGAGGGCCCTGGAGTGGCAGGCAGCACTCAGGAAGGCTGCCCCAGCGATGCGGAGCAGCCAGCCCCTCCTTCGCCTTTATTAGCCCCCCTTTCTCCTTCCCCCTCAGTTGAAGACTGGGGCTGCTTTCAAGCCATCCTGGATCACACTTACAACAAGCACATCAAATCGGAGCCCAACCTCCACCCTGTCCTCATGTCAGAGGCCCCAGTAGGTATCCTGGGGGCATCCCCACGCCCTCCTTCTCCGGCAGGAGGCTGCTACCCCTCTCCTGACCCCCTGCCCCTCCCCTCCCCACAGTGGAACACGCGGGCCAAGCGGGAGAAGCTGACGGAGCTGATGTTCGAGCACTACAGCATCCCTGCTTTCTTCCTGTGCAAGACGGCGGTTCTCACGGCGTATCCTCTTGGCGCTGCTCTTTCCCAGAAGCCTCCGAGGGGAGGGATGGCGTCCTCCTCCCTCGGTCCCGAATTGCAACGATCCAGATGGTTAACCGGGGGTCCGTTACCCCTCCTGCAGCCTAGGAGTGTCGGTGTTGATAGGAAAAGGGCCTGGCTGGGGAGGGGGATACAGCTTCCTCTCCCCCCACTCCAACCTCCCGTTTCAGGACCTCTGCCTTGCCAAACCCTTGACTTTGCTTCACCAGTTTTGCCAATGGGCGCAGCACCGGCCTCGTCCTTGACAGTGGGGCAACGCACACCACAGCCATCCCGGTCCACGATGGGTACATCCTCCAGCAAGGTTGGGTTCACCTTCTTTGGAGAGAGAATTGGGCTTAGATGCAGGTCCCTATTATTGTTAGGGCCACTATCTCTGGTGCCAAGGTGCTGGGGGGAGTGCCAGCGCACCAGGGCCCTCTGAGAGGAAAACCCCCTTGAGGGAGAGGAACTGGGCCCCAGTTGTGCTTGGCCCGGCCTCGGACGCCCTTTGCAGCGAGGGGCTTCCGTGCAAATCCAGAGGGATGAACCGGTTCTCTTAGAGGCAGGATGAAGACCAGAGCATTTCTTGGGTTTGGACGGTCCAAACCATGCAGGGCGTGTGTGTTGTTCTGTGGGTTCAGAAGAAGATGCTGCAAGGGAGAAAAATGAGACATTCATGGGACGCAGGACCCCCCTCCTCCCTCCCTCTTCTGCCCGGTTGCAGGGATCGTGAAATCGCCACTGGCCGGCGACTTCATCTCCATGCAGTGCCGTGAACTCTTCCAAGAGATGAATATCGAAATTGTTCCACCGTACATGATTGCGGCCAAGGTAGTTCTGCCCTTTCCCATTCCGCCACAGCCCAGAGCTATGGATCCCGGCGGCCACGCAGGTGCTGGGCATTCAGCAGGCGCTGCTCCTGGGAGGAGCCGGAGAAGCAGAGGCCTCCGGAGGTGGCTGGGCGGCTCAGAACTGCCCTCTCTTGTTCCACGGTGCTAATTGGAGGCGATGAAAAGCAAGGTGGAACAAAGCTACTTCCTCCACCAGACTTCACCTGCTCTGGACGGGGAGGCCATGGGACTCCCATGCCAGCACCTGCCTGGCGCTCAAGGGAGGTGGAGTCGGGGGGGGGGGCTGCAGAGTGCCGTCAGCTACAGACAGCTGGGCCAAGAGGGGATTGGCAGCGGGGAGTCCCCACGGCCTGCGAGGCTTCACCTCTTCCTTCCCTTGCCTCAGGAGGCAGTGCGTGAAGGAGCCCCCCCCAACTGGAAGAAGAAGGAGAAGCTGCCCCAAGTCAGCAAGTCCTGGCACAGCTACGTGTGCAACGTGAGCCCAGGGGGCTTGGGGACCGGGGAGGCACGGGGGACACCCGAACTGGCAACGGCTGGTAGATGCCAGAGGGTGCTGCCCGGGGAGGCTTCAAGTGTGGCGGTTGGCTGATTCGTTCGGGTCAAGGCTTGTT